GTTCATGTTCTGGCTCCGGTACGAGAGGAACTTTAAAATCTCCAGGTGCTCAATGCTGCGTCCATGTTTGGACAACTTCCATAAACACACAGCACGCTCGCTGCGGTTGACATCGTCGTGTCTCCAGTGCACATGCGGGACACTTTCGGGCCATTTTATGTTCACACTGGAGTCACATACAAGTCGCATTTAATTGGAAATGTGAACGACCTCGCAAAAACATTAGATTTCACAAAAAAATTGGAATTGAGCATTAAGCCCTGAGGTCTGAACTAGGGGTGTGCAAAAATATCGGAATATCGATATATCGTATCGTTTAATGTGATGATACAGTATCGATATCGTGGGCTACTGTATCGATATTTGAGGATTAAAATGTTTGTTTCATATGAACTTTTCACAAGAAGTGATTTAACAAAGACTTTTAATATCACAGCCACGATTTAGCCTTTATTTTTTATTGAACCGTATCGAATCTATTTTGAAATATATCATATCAAATCGAAAGTGCACTGTATCGAGATATGTATTGTATCGTGGCCTGTGTATCGAGGTATGTATCGTATCGGCAACTCCTTAATTATACCCAGCCCTAGTCTGAACGTAGCCTTAGTTCAGTTGACTTTTTAGTAGGCTGGTTGTGTTTGTTGTGGGCAGCAGGAGCTCAGTTGTAGTGCATTTGTTCACTGATCTGAAGGTCTGGGGCACGAATCCTGCTCTAAACATTAAAAAAACAAACGCAATCAGAGATATCAACCTGGTCCCCATGAGGCATCGGTGGTTCAGTTCATCACCACAGAAGCAATTTATGAGGAGTCCAGCCCATATTACATGATCTTTATATCCACAATGCAATGTGTGTATCTGTACAGGCCCATGAACATGTGTGTGATATTGGTCACACATGAGAATGTCTGTGTTTACTTTTTCTGAGATTTTGAGACACTCCTGTTGCTCTAGCTCCATCCTTCACGGAGTTATGACCAAAAACGTATATTTGACCTTGACCGGTACAACAGTTATGTGTGTGCCAACTTGAGTAATGATTGGGTGAATATTTTAGGCCACAGATGGTTCAGAAATTGCCAAAATTGCAGATCCTTTATAATGACGTGACTTTTCAATTGACCCGTGTGACTTCAAATGAGATTGGATCGTCACCAATGCAGCATCGGGCACAGGGGCTTGACCCACGTACCAAATTTGGTGACAATTGGTCCATAAATGGTGGAATTATCGCAGGTGGACAGACACACACAAACATACAGGGTGAACACAAAACCTGGTCAACATTTCGGGGACCAGGTAATAATATTAATCCACTGACCCACAGGTTGGCGGTGTGATTCCAGCTCTCACAGATGAATGCTGTTATTGTGCCCCTTAAGTGGAAGACACTTAACCCACCTCACCCCCAGTGTCTGTGTACACTGGTGTATGAATGAGTGAGTAGTGAGTAGTGTAGTAGTGCTACATAAAAATGTGACCATTTACCATTTGTGAAACATGTAGGTATTCTTTATCATATATTTTCCATTCTTGTATTCATTATTGTAAAGGAAATTTCAAAAGTCCCAATGAGTTGCACTGAATAAGAAAAATACATTGAATATTGTTCCTTAAAATATTGTTCCGTACTGTATAAAATGAATAAAATATATTTTAAACGCTTTGACGTGAATAGTCATCTGTCTATAGCTGTGTTCACAACTTGCAACCTGAATCTGAATCTGAATTAAACTCATGCGCCTGAACCCGGACTAGACCAGGACAGAACCAGGACTAGACAGGGACCAAATGTAAACCAGTCTGGGTGTACGTTTCTCTGTATCTAGAGGTTGCCATGACAAACATACCTGAAGTAGTATTTTATTTCATTCTGACAGTTTAACTCATGAAACGTGTGAATGAAACAAAACAGCAGGTATGTTTTTGAGGAGTTAACAACATTCTAATGTGACTGAAAGCTGAATCAGTTTAATGTAACATAGGACCTTTAACAAAACAAACTACAGTAGATAAATACATTTGTTGAATGCATTTAATACATAGTAGTGTCATACAAAATATATTTATTTTATGTAAATCGAAACATTGCATTGAGGTATAGTATACAACAGAGCCTAAAACACAGTCAGATCGATCTTATTACCAAACACTTGACTTTAAGGTTCAGAAACATGATCAATCCTCTTCTTCGAAGTGTCTTGTTTACATGTGGCAGTCCCCCTCTCCGTGAACTTTTCATGAATGAATGTGTAACCATGTGGTGTACATTAGCACATGAGAAGTGTGGAAAATATGAAGGCACTAGAAGAACGCTTAGGTCACGTGTAGTAGATCTGAACAAGCGTACAAAATGCATTGCTGAACAGTGTAACAGTGTAGTGTTGATAATATTACAAATCCACTTAGAAAAGCCTAGAAAATGACTAGCTTCATTTGGTCGATCTCATTTTTATTTTGTTTTTAATGATTATTTTTGATCAAATTATAATTTTTCTTTCATTTGAGGTTCACCACAAACCAGTCTAGATTTAACCCAACCAGCTACTTACTGACTGGAGAGGCCAATATGGTTGAAGTGTGTTGCTCAGGGACACAAACCCAGAATGTAATCAGAGATAACAGCACTAACAAGTAATAGTAACATACATCCCACTATATTTCACTTTTTGCATTTCATTTTTAGTACAAAAATAAAAAACATATATCTTAGAAGGCTTGGAGTCTTGTGATGTCGTCCATACACGCTGCGCTGTCAATCTTGAGGTTTTCCTAAATTGTGACATTGTGTTTGGGTTTATGGCATGGAGATATTATTGCTTTGCCTGTAATATTCCACAGTATAGAAACACACATCTCTATCTCCATGGAGACATGTAGGTGGCTCGACCAGGCCAAGTTACAGATCAGAGATGTGGAGAAGCAAATAAGCTCACATTAGAATCAGAAGAAGTGGACTAAGTGAGTGACGTCACCCACAGCGTTTGGCTCCCGCTGAATGAAGCTCATCGAGGCAAGCAGTTGTAGGGAAATTTGAATTTGAGTTCTATATTTGGAAATTTGACTACAAGTATCAACGCAACCAAAGAGTTAGTCTAGAGCGAGACTGATGTGGGGACATCAGCGGGGACTTGGCAACACTGTCAATCAAACCTGTTGCTAACACTAGTGGGAGCGACCTCTGGGAAAGACGGTACCTCACTTGTCTGTTAGTAATGTTCATATCTTTATTGTTTAAGTCCAAAATGAGGAGCCTGACAGCAACAGTTAAAGAGAGAGGGGTGACAATACAATACAAAGTGAACTGAAGCCAAAGTCGATGGAGCTATTCTAAAGCAATAAAACATTCTTTGAGCAATAAAAGCCCCTGTAGGTTAATAATCCACAACAGGGCCCAGCAACCTCACTGTTAGCGTCAGGTTACGGGGGTTAACAGTAACCAGTAATCAGGTTAGGTTACGGGGCGTCACTGCAGATGGAGGCACGCGCCGACACGCGCTTGGCTCAAGGCGCAATGATACGGCCAAGCAGAGAAACTATGAAAAACTGGATTGTGTGAACATTTTTGTGAATGGACAGGAGAAGTAGACATTCATTAAATGTCGCCAAAGACTAGGGCGCACGAGGATGCACTGTGAAGCTCAGCGTGTTACGAGAGTGAAGCGGTGCCGGGCTCGCAGTCACACAGCGGCACTAAAAGGATCAATAATGATTTGGTGTTACGGCCCCAGGCCTTTTGATTCCTGCTGCAGGAGCCCTGGTCTGTGATTGGTGGGGCAGGTCGACGCCCACCTCACCTGCAGCCACTGCCCCCTATTTAAGGAGATGACCAGCACCTGTTTGGGGCTGCTGGCCTTGGTGGCCAGTCTGCCATTTTGTTTCGTGTGTGTGTAGTTTTGTTTAGTTCTGTTTTGTGCCTTTTTTGATTTGGTCACTCGATTCTGTTTGTGGGTTTATGTGGTTTAATTTGGGGAACTTGTGTTTAGTTTAGTGTGTGTCCCTAAGTTTTACCACTCGTTTTTTTGTAAGCCTGCGTGACCCCTTTTCTCGCACAAAACTTATTCTGTTGTTCTGTTTCTTAGGTTATGTTGCTTTCTGTATATTTTTAGTCTTTTGTTAATTTACCTTTTACCTTCCTGTTAATTGAACATTACTTAATTTATTCCATTTTACATCTTGGTTTTTATTTTTGTTATTTCCCTTACCCAAACGAGCTGGGTCGTAACATTTGGGAATGTGGATATTTTCATGAATAAGGGCTAAAGGATTGGAATTATACCTGGTCCTGGAGGACAGAGCGTCTTACACAGGGACCCAGATAAACAGGTTCCCTTATAAACTCATAAAAGTTTATAAAGAGGAGGCGGCAGAGCTCCTTCTCTTCGTGCGCGCACTTAAAGATGCGGACTTTTACGCACTCGTTACCCTGGCATCTCCACCGCGCTCTCACTGCAGGAAGGTTAGGCGTATGCGGCCCCTCTCATGCCAACAGAGCGGCGTGGGTAAAGCTCTAATGGCACCAGAGGCGGCCGCATGCAGAACAGCGCCTACCGACCTGCATTCAGCACTAGAGCCGTACCAGGACAGAAAGACAGTCTGCAGACAGAACAAGGTGTGTCATTCTGACCAAAGGAAAAAAAAATGTCAGAGTGCAGGGACGTTTGATAAAAACTCCGACAATAACACGTCAATGTGGGGGAAAGTAATAAAATCTCCATGGAGACAAATTAATCCTTTTGGGAGAATGAGAATTGTTCATATCCACTCATCAACCAAGCTCAAAATGTAATCTACTTCCTGTCAAAAAAAGTTTAGCCCAACATTTGAAAAGACTTGGTACTGTGAAACCAGACTACTTCTGATCTTTAAAACACTGTGAATACTTCTAATAAATCATAATGTAGATAATGTCCACATGAACATAACACACCAGCATTTTCATTTTTGGATTTACAACTTGTTCCATATCTTCTGTTGAGGCTTCCATCAGTCGTTCAGGCGGCGAGCTCTCTGTTATTGGTCAGCAGTCTGAGTTCAGTCGGGTCTGGTTTAGTAACACTGCTTTTCTCTGTCCAGCTTTGAGTCTGGCTGAATTCATCTGAGGGCTGGCAAAGTTTCAGGTACCGCTGTGGGGAGAAGATAAACAAAAAACTTCAGTGAGCAACATGAGTCGGAGTGAGAAAGGTCTCAAAGCAAGACAAAAGCAGCTCTCTTTCTATGAACAGAGGAAGGAGAGAGAGTTTTGTTGTGTGGATTAGCAGTGGGACACGTCAAGTAAGGACAAGAAATGTATTTATTGCCAGGTAGAACCCACACGACCCCTTTAACACACAGCCCCTATTCAGAGAGTAACACAACTTTAAGGATACAGGGGAAATGTGTAAAACTGACCATAAATACAAAATACGTTCAATGATTTTAAATTTAAATAGACATAAGGGTCGGAAAAGTGGTCAAGGTGATAATGTTTAAAGGCTCATATTACCGTATTTTCCACACTATAGGGCGCACTTAAAAGCCTTTAATTTGATCAAAAAACGACTGTGCGCCTTATAATCCAGAGCGCCTTATATATGAATTTATTGGGGTGTCTGAGTATGTCTTACAAAGTCACACCACTTGCAGCATTACGGCTTCGTAGTCAGGAGCATCGCGGAGTAATACATACTGTGATTCCTTTTAATATCAAAATGCACCTGTCAAGAGACACGCTTTAAACTCAAGGCTATTATAAAGTGAAAGTGCGAGCTGCGTGGGAGCAGTGGATGAGAGAAGGCGGACACACATTCACCAAGACAGAGAGACAGCGGCGAGCGACTTATGCCATGATCTGCCAACGGATCGTGGACGCCCGGGCTAAGGATCAGTATCAACTGTGGTCCGAGCTTTCACCAAGAATCATCACTGAACTGCCAGGGAACAGTAACCACACTGACTCAGATAATGACGAGAGGGATGTGGACGCGCTGGATGAAGGAATCGCCCAACTGTTTGAACTATTATGACTTATTCTGAATACACTAACAATTTAGCGTCTCAGACCGTATTTTTTTTACACGTTACAACTGAACAAAGTTGAGAATTATTGTGAACATGTTAAATAAAGTTTGACTGACTTATCTGTTGTGTTTTGTTTAATGCGCCTAATAGTCCGGTGCGGTTTATATGTGAAAAAAGTTTGAAAATAGACCATTCAATGACAGTGCGCTTATAATCCAGAGCGCCCTATAGTGCAGAAAATACGGTACACTGTTTTCTGATCTATGTTATAATGTTTCCTCAAAAACAAGCCAAGAGTTGTGTTTTGTTTCATTCATACACGCTTAACACACAAACCCGGCAATATTCAGGCTGAGTTCTTCTCTTAAATGGAAAACACTCTGTTCCAGCTTGTGATGTCATACAGGAAGTGCTTCACTAGAAAATCCTCACTAGAATTGGAGCTCGGGAATTGCCCATCTCTGTTCACTTCAAAACTACTGCTTCATATAAGGTATAAGGTGGAACAGAGCACATCTTGGGGTATGTTTTTGATGAGGTAGCAGCATTCTAATATGTCTTAAAGCTCGTAAGAATCAATTGTGCGTAATATAGAACATTTAAAGTCTAAAGCTGCCCTGGCTCACCTGTTTGAGGGTGCCCTTTCCGTGGATGAGCTGATAGATGACGAACAGTGGGATCAAGGAGAGGGACACGGTGGCGATGAACCAGCCCAGGATGTTGGCCCACAGCGGGTACACATACGAGTTACTGAACTTCAGAGGACTGTGCCTCACTATGGAGAACACGAATGTGCCCTGGAACACAACCACATGTGAGTCTATGTGGGAGTTGCTTCATAAAAGCTAATAAGCACATAATTAACAATTCATTTGAGCTTTGAACTGTGCTATTCTGTTGTTTTTTTCATCAAAGACGTACCTGGAGTTGTATTTTTGCTTCATTTATACATGTCAGTACTGTACTGCTGTGTGCATAGATATTCTAAACACATCAGTCCTGACAGGATCTTTAGCTCAGTTTTAGTTTTGTTTAGTGCACACAGCTGGCACAGGGACTGTCAACTACGGCTGGGTATCATTAAGAAGCTGCCAATACGATACCTTGATACATAGACCACGATATGATACATATCTCGATAAAGTGCACTTTCAGTTTGAAAGTTTGAACCAAGAAACAAAACTGTAGCTGTAACAAAATAATTTAACAAAATATACCAAAAAATACTCTTGACGAATATAGATATATCGATACAGCAGCCCATGATATCAATACTGTATCATGATATTAAACAATACGATATATTGATATTACAATATTTTTGCACACCCCTACCGTCAGCTCTGATGAGTAAGTGGGAAGTGCGTTCACAACTTCTAAAAAATTTAGTATGACTGTTTTTAGTACTGCTACTACTAATACTACTAAAACTACTAATAAAGTTCAGGATGGTAGGTCAACAAAAACTTACTGTTGTAACTGTCATGTCTGAAGCAAGTGTGCAAGTTGCCCATGGAGAACTATGTTAAAGAAAGTAAACAAGCGACGCATGGAACAGCTGGATAAACAGCTGGGTCACTATTGGTAGTCTATAGTTTTATTGAACACTAAGTTCAGAATTGATCATCTTAAAATCTAAGATCTAAAGTCGAGTGAGAGTCACTGAAAATGTTATGATGTGGAAAAGACATTCCCGAGTGCTAAACTCTGAACATACCACAAAAAGAAATGAACCACACTGTAACTGAGATACTTACAAAGATTATGAGTGGTGTGACATATTTCCAGCAGTACTTCATGAGTATGTTTGGACGATATCCGATCATGTCTGAGACGTTGTCATAGAAACGGTCAGCTCCTGAACATGAAAGAGAAAAGAACAGAACAGTTGTTTATTTGGAGTAACCAGGTGCATACACCTAAAGCACTTTGTTTGTCTTTACTGTAATCATCTTGTATATTTCAGAACAGATCATCTGAATGGGCCTATTATACTGTGAATCTGTGAAGAGCCATGTCTAAACACAGTTACAATGCATGTTTTCAAGCATGTTTTCAAGCAATAAAATGACATATACTTTCATAATAGGTATCTAAAATGCCATAATGTGGAACATCCCCAAAGAAAAAGAAATGTTACATTTTGCTCCTGGAAATGTGCTTAATCTGATTATATTTCCATTTACTTTTCACAGAATTGAACCAAAGACTAAAGCAAACATGTAATGCAGTATATTGACCGTCACTGAACCAGGACCATGTCAGTGTGGTGTAGGATTTCCAGGAACTGAGTAGCTGTTTGTTGTGTTTGACCCTCTGGACTCACCGTAGACCCAGGCGATGCTCACAGACTGGCAGAAGGACAACAACAACAGGGTGGTGCCACTGCACACATGGTGGTCCAGCAGCTGCAGCAGGTACATCCCACCCTGCAACATCACATCTGCATCATTCACACTGAAACAAGGTCAGACAGATCCATAATGAAGCTAACGAGAAGCACTGAAGTTAGATTTAATCTGAGCTTCATTTTAACACGATCCGTCCATGAGGAGTTGACTTATTTGGAACTACAACAGGTGAGCTAATGTAATGTAAAACAAGTTCCTCTCAAATAACATTACAGTCACAAGATGTTTGTACTTCACTGAGATCAGTGGATTTGCAAATGTGACAGTAAATTATTCAGACACTTAATTTAAGGCTGATTGTCCAATGCCAACCACAGAGCACAGAGCAGGTGGTCAGGACTCATAACAAAACAATACCATCATGCAATTTTATTTAAGTAAGTTACATCACTGCATAATATTTCAGAACATCAAACCAAGATTAAACCATGTTTGAATAAAGAAAAAATACAAGATCTAAACCAGAGCTATATCAGAATTTAAAAGGCCCGTACTACACTATTGTCTGATTTATGATTAATAATATTGTTTCCTCATCACAAACATACCTGGAGGTGTGTTCTGTTTCATTCATACATTTTGAACACACAGACCCTGTATATTTAGGTGGGGTTCTCCTTTCAAACAGAAACACTCTGTTCCACCTTGTGATGTCATGTGGTAATACAGGAATTGTTCCAATGTGTTTTAAACTCCGTACACCGTCACTAAAATCATTTGGATGATTTCATCTCTAAAATTGTCCATCTTCACTGAATACAATGTAAAAGGTAGCTGTTATCATAAAAACTACCACTTTATGACATCACAAGGTGGAACAGAGCATTTTGAGGTTTTAGAGGAGGTAACACTAACATGTCTTAAAGGTCAAAAGAGTCTATTTTGTATAATATAGGATCTTTGAGCAGCTTTTTAAGGGACTAGTCTGGCCAGTACTGACCAGGTTCAACTTGAAACTAAGATTAGTCCAAATCTGAGTTCAGTTTAACCAGTTTTATACTCAAGGTGTAAAAGAGGAAGCACACACCTCTGTGACCAGAGACAATCCCAGTAAACAGCAGACAGAGCAGATGAGCAGCAGCAGCAGCTCTCGACGGCATCCTTGACGTAAATAAACCGGAAAGAGATCCACCAGTGATGTCATCAGGCACTCCAGACCCACGAACTGACAAGAGACAGGACAGAGGCAGGTGTTTGTGTTACTATGGCAACTATTAAAAATGTTCAATATAAAATTATAAATGTATAGTTACAGTCATACATACAGATTCTTCTTTTGTCTTTTCCACATTTACAGATATTTAAGCCTATCTTTCCAAATGTGTTAGATGTGATCATCTTAATATGTTTTTTCTTATCATTATTTAAGAAGACTTACTGTGCTTGTGTCTGCTATAAAGTTATAATCGATGGATCATTGTGTTATAATTTGGACATTTTAAATCGCAATGTTCACCTTAATGAATATTGCCCTTAATGAATATCAGCTTAATAAAAGAAACAAATCGGCTGAGTTCTGGGTTAGAAAACTGTGTGTCTCCAAAAACTTCATCACAACAAAGAGCTGTGAAGTTGTCGGCCCTTCCTATAGATAGCTGCAGATCATGTACCGAGCTGCAGATTTGTTTCTATTTACTATACTAATACTGGAGAATGAAGTGTGTATGTCACAGGGGTGTGTAGCGGTGGCGGTGAAAACGGAGGTTGCAAAATGGCGTTTTGAAAAAAATAAGCGAAAGATGCACGAATCATTTCAAATACGAGTTCGGGCAGGTAAATGAGATGGAGAAATAATTATAACATGGTAAAAAACTGCAAAATAGGTCCGCTTTAATACTATCTCGTCTCCATCAATTATAAATCATCGTATTCTTCTATCTCTTTCAGTTGTGTGTTACCTGGCTGTCGAAGGCTGAGGAGGATGATCATGAGGAAGAAGCACACGGACCAGACCTGAGGCACCGGCATCATGGCCACGGCACGAGGGTACACGATGAACGCCAAACCCGGACCTGAGCACACGGAGCACACAACATTAGAGAACACAGCTGAGTTCAACATAGGTTTCATTTAAAGGTCCTATATTACGCAAAATTGAGTCTTGTAGCTTGTAGTCAAGTTATAATGTTGTTACCTCGTCAAAAACAAACCTGGAGGTGTTTTATTCACACGTTTGGGTCATCCTGAATTATTAATCTACTAGTTTCCAAAGCTCAAAATACTCGTGACGTCATGAAGCAGTAGTTAGTTAACAGCTCCCTTTTACCTTTTGTTTAGTAAATACTGGTAATTCAATTGCTGAAAACATCCGTATGATCACATTTTTAAGTGAAGGCAACAGGAATTTATGAAAAACCACTGGAGCACTTCCTTGTATTACCACATAACATCACAAGGTGGAACAGTGTTTTCTGTTTGAGAGAAGAACTCAGCCTAAATGTGCAGGATTTCTGTTTTAAACAAATTAAATCAAACTAAATGAAACTAAACACAACTCCAGGTACAGTATGTCCTTGATCATGAAAAAACATGATACCAAAGATCAGAAAAAACTCTGCAGTGTAATTTGAATTCCTGGAACGTATAGAGGCCCTATACGAGGCTTATATCTGTCCATGTGACTGGATGTATGGAGTAGAAAAAACAACACCGCTGTGAGAGGCATGACCGGTCACTGTTATCCCCTGTTGGCTGGGCTCAGTGCCAAAAGCAGATGGTCCCTTCTTATGTCACATAAGAACATACATAGCATCATTTTATGTCATAGAGAGAGAGACTTTAATCTTTGATATATGCAACACACATCACAAAATATTAAACTTCCATAGCACCTTAAGGACGAGGAGTAAACTGTTTTGGGATGTTCCTAACTTAAACAACACCACATCAAAAACAGCCACTATGAATAAAAAAGAAAGAGTTTATTTAGAACATGGGTGAAAATAGAAAGATATTTCAGTGCCAAGAAAGACTAAATCACTTTTGTGCAGTGTTCCCCACTGCCCGGTGAAACCAATGCGGAGCTGCTAAAGATGAAATGAGCTCTAGAAGGTCTATTCATGTCCAGCTCTACATATTTACTACCACCAGTGTTTCATTCAGCATAAACTAAACTCTGTCTGGTTTGGATCATACCATGCAGTACATAAAATGAGTTACCGTTTTACTTGGATTATTTTGCTTTCAGATTTAGTCTGTCAGGGTTGCAGCACCAAATTCTGGGCCCATGAGTACAAATCATCTTGATGGGGCCGCGCTACATGTTGTCTAATGAGAAATGCATATTACAGATTTTGTGAGGAGCCTCTCCCTGCATTGGGCCCTGGGTAAACAGAACCCTTTACCCCCCAGTCTGACGCCCCCGGTCAGTAGCATGAATGATTGAAATATTATCTTTATTGTGACTTTTTATTAGCCTGATTCATCAGCCGGTTTCACTTTGTGGAAACCGTCTGACCTTGCAACATTAGGATTCGTTCGCTGGTAGACGTAGGCGGGTACTTTTTATCATTTAACCAATCGCTGCTGTTTGGTTGTGATGTATGTAATGCGCTTCTAATGGGGCTAACTGGTATATTTTCCCAAATCCTGTAGGAAGAAGGGCAATAATGTCTTTCCCCTTGATCAAATTCACCAAAAATTCTCTTTGAACCAGCTTTAAATCCTTGATCTTGGGAATCGTTGTGAACACAGAATGTATGGCTCTTCGCTGATTGGCCGGTGCCCGAAGCTTATTAACTGCAAACACACAACATATTTAGAGAACTATGCTATCTTTTATTGTTTGCCAAAATAGTTTCAGTTTCATTTCTGATGCTCTGGGTGCCCCCTCCCTTTGCTCCTCGAGCTAAGTCACTCCCCTTTCAGAGTGCAACCACACTATGGTATTGAAACTACTGCACATTGCATCAGGTTTGTGAAGTTGTAGAGTATCATGCGTTTGTATATTTATGTAAAATTGTTCTACAGTAGCGTGGATGACTTAGGCTTGCGGGCTGAGTCCTGAATTGGATGGTATAGGTAAAAAATAAAATAAAAAGTGTTTGAATAGTGCCCAGGAGAGATCGCTAAATTACTCATGCACAGATGACATGTAAAAGTTTCTCCCATAGCTCCAAAAACACCTATAAAGAAACTTAAACGCTGCATGAAGTGTCCATATTTTGGAACATCGTGTCCAGCCAATTAAAACCTTTTCCTTTAGCAGTTCACTGATCCATAATCAAAACATAGCACATCAAAAGTAGCAAGCTGCTTAAAATGAGATTAGACCATATGACCGCAGATTTGGCACAAGAACTAGAAGCACTCACCTGATTCTGCCACTTCAGCGATGTCCAGTCCAGTCTCATAAGTCATGAACCCCAAAACAGAGAAAATAGCAAATCCTGCCACAATACTGGTGCCACTGTTTAGAAGACACAGGTAGAAACAATCCCTGGAAACAAAACAAAACATCTTTTAGAGTCAAACATCTCCAATATCTATTGCTCAAACGGCCCATATTATGTTTTTTTTTTTTTCTGATCTATGTTATAAATGTTGTTTCCCCATCACACACAGCCATACATGGAGTTGCGTTGTCCACAGTTCCACATGTTGTAATACAGGAATCGCTCCACTGGGTTTTTAAACGCCATACAACTTCATTAGAATCATTTGACTTCTTTCCACCCTGAAATTGCCAATCTCTACTGAACTAAATGTAAAAGAAGCTGTTAACTTGAAAACTACTGCTTCATGACAGTTTTGCGTAATGTAGGACCTTTAATTAGACTTATTAAAGATTAAAGATTGCTCAAACATGCACCAATCACTCCAAATACAACTTCGGTAGGGGGAATTGTGAAGGGAAACAACTATAACATGGGTAAAAGCTCTGAAAAGTCTATGTTGCATAAAAGGTCTGTTTTAAAATTCTCTTAGGTCCAACTCTTTTCTATTTTCCTCACATGTTCTGTCTCCCACTCTCACAATCACTAAAGACTATATGATCCAACACTTGTGGGTAAAAACGACAAAATATTTTTTCGGAAGTGGCTTTCCTTTAGATGGTGACTGGCGTTTTTGAGGCTTAAAAACACAAAAATCTGAAACCACCCTCCAGAGTGGAAAAGTTGAATACGCTGCACCGTAGCGTTTGCGTCTACACTGCCCAAGACGCAAAACTCTGGTCAGATCTGCTCAAGTCGCGTACGTGTTTACGTCACATACATCACCACCCAGCGTCACCACTGAGCCGCCTGGCATGCACACACAATCCAATTCCACACACTTTTGCGTCACCGTATGCACACGCAAAACGCTTGTCTAAACGCAAAATAAAAAGTGAAGACGCGACGCCACTTTTGCGTCGTCTGTTCAAACCGTCATCATATTAACGTAGCCCAAATTATAATATTATTTGTTCCTCCCGAAATCCAGATAATCCAATAGTATTTGTTATAGTACACGTTAGTTGTAGTACCGTACAGACCGTAAAACAGGTTCATGGTCTCGAAACTGGCCTAGAGACTGTGTTTTTTAACGGTCTTGGTCTCCTTTTGGACTTCACTGCGTTTGGATTCGGTCTTGTCTCGGCCTTGAAGGCGCTTGGACTCGGTCTTGTCTCGGTCTTGAAGTCTAACACTCGACAAGTGATAAAATGGAGATAGATTTTTAAAAACAATCATATATATGAGCCAAAATAAGTGTAAAATACAAATAAATGTCGAAAATTAGACAGCTGGTCTTGATTTGGTCTCGCTGGGTAGTGGTCTCGGTCTTGTCTCGGTCTCTGCCTTTAAAAGTCTCGGTCTTATCTCGGTCTCGACCCTCAGAGGTCTCGGTCTTGTCCTGGTCTCAGGACCATGTGGTCTCGGACTAGCCTGGTTCATCAGCTGGTTTCACTTCGTGGAAACCGTCTGACCTGGCAGCATTAGGATTCCTTCGCTCCACAGTAGGCGGGTACTTTTTTCTATTTAACCAATCGCTGCTATTTGGTCAGGACGTACGTAATGCATCCCTAATGGAGCTAACTGGTATATTAAGCTTTTCCCAAATCCCGTTGAAAGAAGGAGAACAATGTCTTTCTCCTTGATAAAATTCACCAAACTTTCCCTTTGTTCCGGCTTTAAATCCTGCCAACACAGAATATGTGTCTTCATCTACATCCATCTCGACCGCTTTGTTTACTGTTGAGCTGTAACACAATAGGGACCCAGTCATGGCTTCATAGCTCTTCACTGATTGGCCGGTGCGCGGTCTACCACTTCCAGGGTTCTTGCAAACTGTCTAGTGTATTCCTGATTCCTGACCTAGTTGCTGGAGAGAAATGAAACTGAGCAGAGGCCTGGTCTTGATCTCAATTAATGCAATCTTGATTACAACACTAGTACACGTTATAGCATGTTACATACACTCACTTGTAACAGTCATTTTTGAAGTGATTGTAACTTCCAAGTGACGTTAGGAAGCCGAGTCCAATGGCGTAGGAGAAGAAGATTTGGGTACCAGCATCCATCCACACCTATACACACAAAATACAAAACTATGAGAATACTACTACTACTATGACTGAACTGTATAATTAAAAGGACAGTTTGCTTTTCTAACCTGTGGATCAGAAAGTCTTGAGATATCCGGGTACAGGTAGTAAATGATTCCATCGATAGCTCCGGGCAGAGTCACTCCTCGGATCAGTAGAACCAGCAGCATGGCGTAGGGGAAGGTGGCTGTGAAGTAGGCCGCCTGAAATCAAGATTCAATTATCAGGGACCACTTTAAAATCACAAGATTGAGGGATTTCGATATAGTTACATCCCTGATACACAGTGGGGCAAATGTTACCAAACTATGAAGAAAAACAACATCAGCTGATTTTACATGCTTGTCTACTCGATTATTGATAACATCTTCTGAGAAATACGAGCTGTAATACTAAGAATGTTAACTGCTTTCAAGAATGCGTTCAATTCATACATACATACATACGTACATACTTACAGGCGCGTGCACTCTGTTAGATAATGTGGGTTTCTGGCAGACCAGCTGACATAAAGTAACAGGGCACAATAACACACTGTCACATGGATTTACTGGGGCAATTTAGAATCACCAACTTCAGCTATTTTTTCACTATGAACCCCAGAATAATGCTTTTGTTTTCTATATGAAGAAGTTAGTCTTAATGTATGTCCTATCAAGAACGGGGTGCTTTTTAAGTAAAGATGAAGTATTCTACACCACACACATAACACACGTGTCCCTTTGATTCAGAGCCTCTATTCACCTGAGTGCTGTTTGTGTGAGGAGATGGGTAATGCCCATCCACACCCACAGGACAGGGTAAGGCACACGTTTGGACACACCCTGGAATTTTAGTTTTTTTAGTTTTTTTTTTTTTAAACAAATACGTAAATAATTGGTGATTTTCATATTTTGGATATGTGGTGATATAATCTGAAACCCACCAATCAAATCACTGCATGTGCATCCCCATGGAAAGGACCTTTAGTGTTCTGTTCCATTTGTCCAAGTTCCCAGCAGACACACTCCACCACTTCAGCTCATTTCAGCAACACTTTCCTCACAAGTAGCACTGTTAGCAAACCTCTCTGAAACATTTCCAAATGTCTCATCAAGAGCATCTCCTTGAGTCACTGACACAGAAGGACTTCTTGTCAGTCATGGAGGACGAGCGGGCCCAGGCTCACCTGCAAAGGAAGGCCTGCAGCCTGGCTCAGGTGTTCAACAACTACTTGAGGTAGGAAAATGTGAATCTACTGCCCCAAAGCTGTGTGTCCACTATACAGAGGGACCCCTCGGTGCAGCATCACCCCCAGCTTTTAGCTATTGGGTAGGTGAGGTCTAAACTGGACCAGGTGCCCTTCTGCGCCTTCTGGGTTCTGAGGAACAACCAGTACCTCAGCAATCACATTGAGGAACAGGCAAACAGCGTAGTAGAGATTCTCACAAGAAAGGCTGCAGAGGTACAGACACATGACTCCTCCAGGCAGCAGGAGAATGTGAACCTACTGCCCCAAAGAAGTGAGTCCATCATCCAGAGAAAGCCCACAGTGCAGCCTCACACTCTGTCACAACTGTTGGCCAAAAGACTGGTGGACATGATCCCCTCATCAGCGACCCGACAGGTGAGGTTTAAACTGGACCGGGTGCCCTCCCGCTCCTTCTGGACTCTCATTAACAACGAGTACCTCAGAAATCACTTTGAGGAAGAGGCAACATAACATATCGGTCGGGCAACGCAAAAGTTTGATATAATCTCGGGTTAACGGGTGGGTGCAGTGCTGTACTGTGCGGGTGTTCCCAAAGACTAAGGCCATACTGAGCCAGACTAACCATCACAGTTTATGCAAACACCCTCTGGGAGGCGCTATGTCACCCCACAACAAAAGCTCAACCGCTACGCTAAATCTTTTATTCTTATTGCCATAAAGCTTTTAAAAGGAAAGTAAATTTGCTGTTGTGTCCCCTGATGCACTGAGGTCTGAATGTACGGTGTGTGTTGTATTTATTCGATTTTTAAAATGTATTGTGCACAACCAGAGATATGCAAACTGAATTGCCCTTTGGGACTAATAAAGTTGTCGATTGATTGATTGATTTATGATTAGATTAATACAAGTACATGATTAATATAAATCTATAAGTCAAAAAAAGCCTTCCATGTGCATAAATTGTTGCTGCATTTGGATGAAGCTTTCCGTGTTGATGGCGTAGGTAGGGGATTTTGCAAGAGAACTCCACAAACTTCCACTTAACTGATGTCAAACTATGGTCAAATTTCACCACAGGTACTAGCGCACCAAACCAATAATTAGAAAAACATGAAAACACATAATCTGTACTTTAAATGTGATGCCGTCTGTGTTTTTGTACATGTTCTGTAGGTCTGACCTTCCCAGTGGACTTGATGCCTTTCCACACACAGAAGTAGCAGATGACCCAGGTCAAAACAAGGCACAGCGCCAGCTCCCACCTCAGACTGCCCGTGTCCTCGATGCCCGTGGAGATCTTCAGCACCCGCCGTCTGCCAACCACAAGTCACATCAGCACCACACTGGATTCAAATCATAGACTCTATAAAGAAGTGGATGAAGTGAGTGTGACGTCACCCAACTTTCAATTTTCTTATTGTCCCAGAGGGAAATTGTTGTGTAGCAGTGTCATACAGTTGGCATACAGTACAATTCAATAATACACTAAATCACATCTTAATACTTCCAGACCTAAAGGCAATTTTACTAAATTTGTCCTCGCCTGCATTTTTTTCTTAATTTTGCTATTAAAACTCCCCCTTTTACCCCCTAATGAAGTGTTACACATACGAGTAGTAAAAGTTACAGGACCAGACAAATGAAAAAAAAAGAAAAAAGAAAAATCACACTTTTTCATACAAAACATGTATAAACAACTTTGTGGACATAAAAAATGTTTAATTTATGGCCTTAGCTCTAAATTAGTCTGGGCCTTAGTCTGTAAGTAAACAAAAAATGTCCTTATTGCCTCAAAACAGAAAAAAGTGCAATGGCCCCATGACTTTCCTGGTGCCAGTCATGGAGCCACATCACTTCCTGCATTTCCATGGTGTTTATTACATTTGGATTTGTACATTCTGAAGGGATGCAGGGATGCACAATTACACAGACCAAGATGTGTAATTTTCCATTTATTTGAGAAATAACTGCACTTAGAGCGGCTTTTTCAATTGTTATGAACACAGACGCTCAGAGCATCGACCATTTTGATTCACTACACTCTTTGGCAAAGTTTGGTCCAGTCAAAATAGAAGGAGCGCATGTGAAAACAAAGTTCCTATTGGACACTCGTTTCCCCTGGAAATATGCTCAGAAACTGCAACTCTCAGCTTTTCAAGAAAAAAAAGGAAGTTTCTTTCTTTTATGGTTGAAAAGTTATGCATGGTTATATAAAACATGTTTGCAGGCATCGTATATGATCCCGTCGATCTGAAAGGTTTAACAATGCAGACATGCATTCTGGAGCCAAGTTCAATATATTAGGAATAGAAACTCAGCAAAGGAGTTCAAATTATGGCACAGTTGCTGCAATGAGCTAAAACAAGCAACTTCTCTTTTTCAATTCAAAATAACTTTTAAGAGAACAGCAATGGAAAAATATCTGAAAGAATAACGACAGTAAACAGTAACAGTAAAGAGATTTTTGTTATAATTAGAATAATTGTTGATTTTTTTATTATGATGTAGTAAAATGTTGTATTAATGTCATACTAATTTTGAGGTGAATGTCCATTAACGTGCTGAAGTTGGAGATAAGGGGGGACACAATAAGTTTTAGATTCTGCCTACAAGTGGTCAGTGACTTAGTGTTTACGTTAATTTGATTTGATTGTTTTACAGACTGAATATGTTTTATTTTATGGCCTCAGACTGAATATAATGTATGGAGACTGTAAAGAGTTAAACACTGACCAAATAAAAACACACAAACATCTAGAAATTGATTTACAGACAAAAAAGCGAAATAAAAACACCAGGATTTTTCAATACAAAGTAAACCAGGTCGATGGAGCCTGAAGTGTACCCATAATCACTTCCTGCAGGTTAACTATGTCCATTTATATTTACATTAGGGATGGGCATTTGATAAAATTTTTCTTAATCAATCGTCGGAAGAAATGACGATCGATTATCGATTAATCATAATAGTGCAGATAGTAATAATAATGGTAACACTTTATAATAACGACACCTTATTTAGCCTTAATAAAGCATGAACAAAGGCTTAATTAATAATGCACAAAGACTCAATTAATGATGATTGATTAATAATGATCATTCAGGCAGCTGTTATCTGTTAGTTAAGTCTTTTTGAGAGCTTTTCCAAAGTGAAGACGAATTATCCTTTATTAAGCATTTACTAAGTGTGAATCATTATTAATTAAATCTTTGTTTATTATTAATTAAGTCTTTATTCATGCTTTATTAAGGCTAAGTAAGGTGTAGTTATTATAAAGTGTTACCATAATAATGATGATAAATTTTAATATAAAAACGTTAATGATTAATCGATAATCGATAATTCTCCCGACAATCGATTAAGAAAATTTAGTCAAATGCCCATCCCTAATCGAAATTGTGTTTCTCACTCCCAAGCGTATAAATAAATAACAATAAATGGAGCCGTCCAAATTAGGGATGGGCATTTGATAAAATTTTCTTATCGATCGTCGGAAGAATTAATGATCAATTATTGATTAATCATTAACGTTTTTATATTAAAATGATCATCATTATTATTACTATCTGCACTACTAAATAAATTCAACTTCACGACATATAAACTGTAACCACTCTAGATCCACATCAGCTTGTTTGACATTATAATGTGTTTAATTCAGTTTTGTTCAACTCTCACAGAAACAAAACTTAAAACCGCATCGCTAATTTACATAAACTAAGCGAAGATAAAACTACAGCTCTTGTGTCGCTGATGTGGTTCAACTTCTGTCGGATTAAAAGACATGACTCAGGTGAATACAGGTTAGTGTGACCATATTTGTGTTTGTCAAAACCAGGACACCGTACGGGGGGAGGGAGGCGGGGACTCGTCATCGACATCGCGCGACTCTCACCTGGTAAAACTTTTTCCCACTGGACACAGAAACATATGTGCTGCTTTATACACTGTGCACATGGACTCACACTTGTCCCGAACGCAACGGAAAGCGTGGAATTTCTTGTACAAATCATCGTTAAATACACATTTGTGCTTCGGTACGTTGCAGACTGACCGAATGTTTCTGTTTGAGTGCAGAGACACATGTACGGACCCCTGTTTGGTCACGCTACACTACGCACAGCAACCTACATTCGGTTTGTCGATTAAAATTAACGTAATCGATGAAATTCTTAATGATCAATTATCGATTAATCATGCCCATCCCTAATTTACAGTCTACAATTCAACCCAGGTCAAATGTTAAAATGTGTACGCTGCATGCTGTACACTAGTGCGTGAGATTCAGTGGGTTAATAGGTGACGGGTTTAGGGTTTAGGGTTTAGAGATGGAGTTGAAGTTAAAGAAAGATGATGTAACATGAGCTTACTGCCAGTACTCGACCACCGGGAGAGTCGTGTTGTGTTTGGATATTACGCTCTGACTTATGTTGGTCTGGCTTAAGTCCAAACAGGAGGCTGTGAAAATAAGAAAAGACTGTTAATAATAAAAACAAATACAGTAGAATATTTGTGGAATAATGAGTGTTGGAGAATCGACAAAACAAGACAGAAAAGAGACATGTGGTTTATGAAGAAATGTATTATGGTTTATTATTATTATCCATGGTTTTAATTATAATTTCTACAACATTCTAGGCTACAGGTAACTTTCCATGAAATTACATGCTATAAGGTTAACCGAGAAGTCTACAAACTAAGGCTTAAAGAATCCGTGTGTCATTCGTTCATTCGTTTTTCAAAATAAAACCAAAAATAAGAAAACAAAACAAAAAGAAAACATCTATTTTCTTCATTATTTGTCTCTAAAACCAAAATGAAAAAACAGATAAGGACTGCTTCCCGTTTCCGTGACTTAAACTGAGATGCCGAACTTTTGCACCGCATATGGACTAAAACGGGACTAAAACAGGGCTAAACCAGGACAAAACCAGGACTAAACCAGGACTAAACCAGTCTCAGTCCTGGTTTCAGTCCCAGTCTGGCCCCAGTCTTAGTCCCTGCCTCAGTCCTGGTCCCGGTCGCAGTTTGGTTCTGGTCTCAGTCCTGATCACCCGACAGTCTATGCGGGCCCAACTCCGGGTCTGTCCTGACACTCCTGGTTCAGTCCCGATTCAGTCCGGGTTCGGTCCTGGTTCGGTCTTGGTTCGGTCTGGGTTCGGTCCTGGTTCAGTCCAGGTTCGGTCCGGGTTCCTTCCTGGTTCGGTCCAGGTTCGGTCCTGGTTCAGTCCGGGTTCGGTCCTGGTTCAGTCTTGGTTCACTCTTGGTTCAGTCCGGGTTCAGTCCTGGTTCGGTCTTGGTTCGGTCCTGGTTTGGTCTTGGTTCGGTCCTGGTTCGGTCCGGGTTTGGTCTTGGTTCGGTCCTGGTTTGGTCTGGGTTCGGTCCTGGTTCGGTCCTGGTTCGGTCCTGGTTTGGTCTTGGTTCGGTCCTGGTTCAGTCCTGGTTCAGTCTTGGTTCAATTTGGCATCGCAGTTTAAGTCACTTAAACAGGAAACAGCCGTTATCCGTTTTTTCCATTTAAACACAAAATCAAAAACTAAAAAAATGAATCATTATCCATTTTTTCATTTAGATTTTGGAGACAAATAATAAAGAAAACAGTTGTTTTGGTTTTATTTTGAAAAACAAATGAACAAATGATACACGGATTTTAAAGGGCCCATATTACATTATTTTCTGATCCTGTTGTTTCCTCAAAACAAACAGACCGACAGAGTTTTGTTTTGTTTCATTCAAACATGTTTAACACACAAATCCTGTATATTTAGTAGGGATGTAACAATAACTGAAATATCGTGATATCGTATCGTCAAAAGTCTCACAATAATATCGTGGCTGAGAACAATATATCGAATTACAAGTCTCTTTGTTTAAATTAATAGTTAAAGTGCAGCAATATAGCTAAAAAATAGAGAGAACTACATAGACCATGATCCTTTGCTCAGTTTCAGTGCGGATTACATGAAGAAATAACTTTTATAAGCACTTTTAAATCTGAATTCTTTGGATTATAACAGAGCCAAAGTCTTGTCACGGCATTTTAAAAGGAAAACAGTGGCATATTCACAGTTTTGTTTAGCCTCCACAAAATATTGCAATAAATATCGTCCGTGAGATGCATATCGTGAAAATATCGTACTGAGAGATTTGGATATCGTTACATCCCTATAATATTTAGCCTGAAACAATCAATTCCACCTAATAATATCATGTGTTAATAGAAGAAGCACTCCACTGTGTTTTGAAACTCTTGTTTTACATCTGTGTTTTATATCTTTATTAGAATCTGTGTGTAGAATCCCTCAGTTGTCCAGGACTGCATCACTTGAACTCCTCCTATGAGACAATCCTCAAAAGTTGTGCTATTTATTTTAATTACTTTTTGGCATATAATAACACGTCTGCATCTTGTGTTTTGTTGATTTTTTTCAATAAAAAAAAAGATATATATATTAAGTATTTATATTTATATTTAAATTATTATACGACATGTTTACATTTGCCTCCGAATTTTCGTCACCTGACAAGTTCGAGATTAAACAGTGACAGTCACCGCACATGCAAAGTTCTGTAGTGCAGTTACGAAAAGATAGACAGAGAGTTTTCTAAGAACAGTGGACGACCGATTATTGTTTTGTTCAGTGTGAGGAGCGTGCAGTTTGTCTGATGTGTAAAGAAAGTGTGGCGGTTTTCAAAGAATATAATCTGCGTCATCAGGGTCAAACAATTCTGTGACACGGCCGACACGACCCCGACCTCCATCACAGTCAGGAACCATAATGTGGCCCTCAGAGAAAAAAAGTTTGGTGGCCCTTGCTTTACTCAAACGTGTGAATGAAACAAAACACAACTCCAGTTTATAACAGCATTATAACAAGACTATTTACATAACACAGGACCTTTAATTTGAAATAAATTATGATTGTGACTACTTTATTTTTTTTTTTACAAAGGGCTGGGTTTGTTGTCACTTTCCTTATGTTTCAAGACACCTCCCTATTGGAAAATGTAAAGTACGTTTCTGTGTAAAGCAATAATCCATAACGTCCAGACCTGTGTTCCACTCGTTTCCACACGAGGCCCACGGCAGCTTGGGGCTGAAGGACGCAAACAGGTAAAAGAAAGCCCACGCCATGATGATGATGTAAGACGTGGCACTGAAGGAGATGATCAGGTGACTGGCATAGCCCATTCCTGCAACAAGAAACACAGGGTCAAAGCTGTCACGGTGATTTATATTTATTTATACAGATTATGACCGTGAAACTGGAGATACTGAGCTGCAACCCTTGCTTACATAAAGGTTAGTGATGGGACGTTTGTGAATGAGTAGACTCTTTTGAACGATTCTTTAACAGTAGTCGTTGGATGAGGATCCTGTTTTTTTTTAAAGAATATTTTTCTTTCTCTGCATTTTTACACTAATTAACACCAACCAACTCAGGAATCAGCACAGACACAGAACAGGCAACACAAGTGAGATTTAAGTGGGAAAAAAAAGAAAGAAAGAAACACATACGGCATCTTAATAACAGTTGTTTTTTGATCTATTATAAGGTGACTAAACATCTCTATTTACCAGAGACAGTCCCAGTTTTGAGCCCTGTGTCCCCTGTCCCAGCAGATTTATCCAGAACTATTGATCTGTCCCAGTTTTATACAAGAAATGTCCCAGGTGTCCCTATTTTTGACCAGAGAGCAGAGGACATACGAGTCGTGACTTGGACTCGAGTCTTACTTGAGTCACTATTCTTGAGACTTGACTTGATCAGTGACTTGAGACTTCACTCTGACTTGAGGCCTGTGACTTGAAAAGACTTGATGCTTCTCCTAAAAATATGTTTTTATAAAATACTTTTCTCTTCACAGTTGATAAATGCAGGGCTTAATTTTACAGAAACAAACTGAAACATGTCCCTCCCACTTCTCTGTTTGTTACTCTGGATGTAACTGAAGTACTGTGATGTGCTCTCCTCAAATGTACTGCAATAATATTCAGTACAATACAGTAAAACAGAGGGAACTACATAGAACATGATCCTTCCATTTCAGTGCAGACTACATGACAAAATAACTCTGAATTCTTTCTATTCTAACCGTAATAATTCACACTCTTGTCAAGACATTTAAAAAGGAAAAATTGACCTTTTCTACAACTCTTATATTAATACTCATATACCATGTCTATTTAAGTACAAATTAGTTTAAAATTCATTTAAATTGCAAAAATCTAAGCTATATTTGGTACTTTTTGATTTAAAGACTTGAAATGACTTGAAACTCAAAGCAGACGACTTGGACTTGACTTGTACTTATGGACCAGTGACTCGAGAGTCAACTTGGACCTGTCTGTCTTTGACTTGGGACTTGACTCAGACTAGGGGTCAAAGACTTGAGACTTACTTGAGACTTGCAAAACAACGACTTGGTCTCACCTCTGGTAAAGAGTGGCATAAATTGTCATTTGTTTCGGTAAAATTCAGAAAAGCTGACCAAAACACAAAGAAAATGTGACTATACCAAGTCACCGAGTGCATAACAAATATTCTTACGTGCTCATTTCACAATTTAAAATTCACAAATTACTACCAACCACCACAAATCAAGAGCGTCCCAGGTTTTGATTTTGAAATTCTGGTCACCTTATTGTAATACAACACTTTTTTTTAAGATTTTTTTTTTTTTAAACATGCTTTTACACCATTTTAAAAGATTTTAGCCTTGGTAATTTCTCTTTGTTATGAATTTGCAGTTAGAGTTCTCACAATGACTTCTCTCATATAATTAAGTATAAAAAGAGCCAGTATTGGGAGATTCGGATCCCACAGGGGAGCCGGAAGTCCCATCACTAGCAGCATAAAGGTCACGACGAGTTCAACCTCAATGAATTTACCTTGAAAAAGCGGGCATATCTTCTTCCAGCACGTGATTCCTCCCTGGTTGGTGAACTGTCCCAGCGAAGTCTCCAGGAAAAACAAGGGAATCCCGCACGTAAAGATAAACAGAACGTAGGGAATGAAGAAAACACCTGCCGCGACCACAAGAGGCACAAGTGCGTAATGAGGCAATGGACCCTGATAGTTTTACCCAACCCAAAAAACAAACACCCACCTCCTCCGTTCCTGTAGCACAAATACGGAAAGCGCCACACGTTTCCCGGGCCGATGATAGCACCCATCACCGTGAGAATAAACTCGGCCTTGTTCCCCCAGTACCCCCGAGAGTGTGGGGCTTTTGGCTTCTCTGCGCATTCTCCGTTTGGTATAGGCACTGTTGTTTCGTGTTTAGTCATAATTTATTAATAGACGAATCATTCAGAAACTTAAAAAAAAAAAAGAAAAAGAAAGAAAAAAATCGCGCGTAAAAGTCAAAGTTGACAATATGTCGCTGGTTCAAACGGATTCAAAGTCGTCCTCTGCAATCTCTTCTGATATTAGCTGAGAAGGACAGAAACTTTTTAACTCAGAGGATGTTTCCCAGGGGGCGGGGGTCATTTCATAAACCGGGCGTAAAAGCGTGCGTAAAAAGAGGCGGCGCTCCGGTGCGGTGGAGGCCTGTGCTTCACGTGTGCGGGGCGTGTAATTATTATACAAACGTAACGTGCGTGGATCATCTCTGTACAAGGTGAGATTAAGGTCAAGAGACGAACACCCTCCTGAGGATTCATGATTTTAGCAGTTTTCTTGATTGCTTTTAAACATAGACAAATAAAATGTACTGTCTGATCCAGGAGCGAAATTATTTGGACATGGTAGCTCACACGTCACAATATATTAAAATAACAAAGAGAAAAACTATAAAAAGTATTCATAAATATCAATAAAAATATTTAAGTTAATCTATAGTTGATATTTTCTGTTGTCAAATAATAATACGCACAAAAAATGAAATAAAAACAAAATCATAATCGTGTTTCTTTTTTGGGGGGTACATGCTTGACCTGCTAAGTAAATAACCCGCTATTACGCAATATCAAGACTCTCCATAAGGTGGCAGCACGACTTTTTAAAATTTCTTGCAGACACAGCTGAGCGTAGATGCAGACTGAGGGAATCCTTCATGGGATTTTGCGTAAAAACGTCTAATGAAAACTCAAAATTTTCCGCCATTTTAATTTTTATTTATTTATTTGTGCTCAGATGTGTAGTTTCAAGTTGTTAAATGCAAAGTAGGTCATGTGCAGTATTGAAACGATCTGCCAAGTTGTGCACAGATTTCCAGATTTCCAAACAAGAAACGTCAGTGTGGTATGTGCAATTTTTGAACCGAGAGCCGTGAAGTTTTAAAATCCACACGTGGAGATGCCTCGTTTTACGCACAGATATGCTACAGATACATGTTCTCTTCTTAGTGTGACCAGATTATAAAATTCAAAAACTGGGACACCCCTGGTTTGTGGTGGTTGGTAATAATAAAACTGTGAAACGAGTGCGTAATGAAGGAAAATTGTTGTGCGTTCAAGACTAACGTGAGTCAGTTTAGTCCTATTTTCTTTGTGTATTGGTAATTTTTAAGCAGCTTTTCTGTATTTTACCTAAAAAAAGATAATTTATGCTTCTCTTTATTGTTTACAGGGATCAAATTGGTTAAAAATAGGGACACCAGGGACATTTCTCGTATAAAACTGGGACAAATCACTGGTTTTGGATAAATCTGCAAGGACAGGGGACACAAGGCTCAAAACTGGGACTGTCCCGGGTAAATAGGGACGTCTGGTCACCCTACTGTCTCTGCATGGATGTACAAAACCACCTAAAGCGTGCCTCACAGAAAGTCTCAACTAAAAAATGTTACAAAAATAATAAATTCCAAATGCGTAAAAGTTGTCTGGTGAAGGGTCAGTCACGTTTTTTGTTCTGCTATGGAGATGTCATTGCTCTGCTTAGAATATTCCACAGTATGACATTAAACAGCTCAATTACAGGTGTTTTTTATACCCCAGAAGACAGAAGGATTAATAAAAGCGTAATATTTTATTGTGAAACATTCCAGACAAAGTCATAAGGTGCAAGGTGCAAGTTACACAATGCAACTTGAATCATATTTTCTTAGGAGTGCTTTTATGTGACTTTCCACGATGTTTTTTCACAGTTTGTGTCCATATTTTTGCCTTTACCTCCTCCTTACGTACTTCTGGTGATTCCCGGTACTGCCACGGGGCCCAGCCGGCGCGTGAGCTCACCGTGTCAGGCTGAGCGCAGAAGAGGAGGAGGGCGGGGCGACCAGCCTCATTGTACCGACCGCTGCTGATGCTGGCACCGAGCGACTCCCCAGCCCGATCTGCGTGCGATGGACGAGACCTCACCCTCCACCTTCCTCCACATGTGACATTCACGAGGTAAGACGCTGCTTTCTGCCCAAATACGCGCTTTGGATTCGCTCTGATTTGGATCCGGAGCGGCAGAGAGTGCACCAGCGGGGGCCTAGCTGTGCCTGAGTCCGGATGTTGCTACCTCGTCGCTGATAGGCTACAACATATTGAGCTAATTTTAGTCCAACGTTGTTATCTCCAACCTTACATCATATCTTTGAGGGTTTGTTTTGTGTTTAACCAAAATGGCAAACGTTTACGTGTCGTTTCGGGGAAGCCGGCGCGTTTTGCGTTTGGCTGCATGGGAAATAAGCTCGGCCTGTGCCAGTGCTCTTCAAATATGAGTGGGAATAGGGCTTATGCGATCCTGGGGCTTCCTCCTGTCTGGCCATCGTACCCCACGGATGCTCATTTTGCGTTTTGCCACGGCTCTCCCCACGTTTTTTTACGCGTTTGTCACTCGTCGTGCCGTTTCTTGTGACATACGCTTGCTGTAACGATACGTCGTGTTCTCCTCGGGACGTTACGCACCGATCGACGCGCGCTGAGAGGAGGATGCTGCGGCGGTGATGTAGCAGGAAGGATGCAGGAAACCACGGAGGATGGGTACGGGCAGGGGCCTGGCCTGTCTCCAGCCTCACTCTGTCTCTCTCTCTTGCCCTGGGGGGGGGGGTGACACTGGCCTGGTTTACCCATAACGCACTGCTGCTGCTGCTGCTGCTGCTGCTCGGATGGCGTTTGTCACTGTGGAGCTTATTAGAACGGGGTCAGAGCGGATGTGGGGCAGTAGTGACAGGTTCTAGTTAATAACAGAGTATGGATTGAACGCTGATGCAGGGGCCAGTCAGGTTATGATAAGATATTGATCAAATAAGCAAAGCGTGGAAAGAAATTGAAGAACGCTGAGGTTGGTTAGTAGTAAACACGTTGTGCTTCAAGGCTTAAGTTATTATTCATGCATGCATCAGCCAGTTTCCCCAAAGGGTAGCCTATATAAGAAGAGGACTACTTTGCACTACTTTAAAGGTCCTATCGTATGCAGAATTGATTCTTTTGAGCTTTCAGTCGTGTTATAATCTTGTTACAGGGCAGCCACGGGGTCTTAAAAGTCTTAAAAAGGTCTTAAATTTCATGTTTCTGAAGTAAAGCCTTAAAAAGTCTTAAATTATGTTGTCCAAGTCTTATTTTTTTCACAAAGGTCTTAAATTTCGTTAGCCTATTTTTTTGTAAACTCAACCAGACTGCAGTGCAATGTTAAATGGAGGGAGGAAAAAAAAAAACAGCAACAACGTGAAATCATGAAACGTGAATGAACAACTAATTTGGAGTATGCGCACTACTTTGTGCAATACTTTGTTTTTTGGTGCCGGCAACAATGAGTAAACCATCAGCAGAGTGGAGGAAGACGTTGGATGGATCATGGGGAAGTGTAGGTTTAATCACAGTGGCTCTTAGGTTCTAGATATAGTACATATATTGGTCATTATTAGAAGTGGATCTGATGTTTTTCGCCCACATAATGGCTGCGATGTTGGTCTTAATTTTTACTTAAGTGGTCTTAAAAAGTCTTAAATTTGGGGTAGTCAAACCTGGGGATACCCTGTGTTACCTCCTTGAAAACCTACTAGGCGTTGTGTTTTGTTTTCATTTCTCACATGTCTGAGTCATCTTTTATTATTAAAGCTCAAAATGCTCTGTTCAAACTAGTGATATCATAAAGCGGATAGAGATAGAGATGAGTAATTCCAAGGTTGAAATCATCTGTATTAAGGCTGCGCAATGAATCCAATTTTGATCGCGGTTTCAATTTGTGTGTCAGACGACCTTCAAACTCATATAATTGAGTTGAAACGATTGAAAGCTTAAAAAAGACAGCTGGATACATAGTTGATTTTGGATACGTTTATGTTTTTCTCTGCCTTATTTCATGTTCAAAGTATATTTCATTCATTTTATGTTTTATACATTGCAAAACTGCTCTAAGGAACATATTTGTAGCCTGTATTTATTTTCAATTTGAAAGTTTTGCGTGAATTATCAATAACAAAGTGTTCTTTCTGAGAGAGAAATGCTGAATAAATGCAGCTAAAAAATAATTGTTTGAATAATCATGATTTCGATACTGACCAAAATAATCCTGATAATGATTATCTGTATTATTCTAGTTTTATTTATTTAACCTTTATTTAGCCGGGAAATAAATCCCATTGAGTTTAAAAACCTTCTTTTTAAAGGAGTTCTGGCCAAGAAGCAGCAATTTAACACATAGTTACAATCTACATATAAACACAGTGTTGAGGAGTAACAGATTACATGTACCAGAGTTACGTAATCAGAGTACAAATTATGAGTAACTGTATTCGGTTACAGTTACTGTTTCAGTGAGTGATAATTGGATTACAGTTACTTTGTTGAAATAAATGGATTACACAGAGGTAATTTCCTGTTTTCATATTTTGGGCTAAATCCCTGTTTTTTTTATTTTGTTTGTTTTGTTTTGTTTTTGTAATTCCACTCATTGCCGGACACAAAACCAGGTCTAAAACCAGGTCCAAACCAGGTCTAAACCAAGTCTAAACCAAGTCTAAAACCAGGTCTAAACCAAGTCTAAAATCAGGTCTAAACCAAGTCTAAAACCAGGTCTAAACCAGGACTAAACCAAGACTAAACCAGGTCTAAACTATGTCTCAAACAGGATTTAACAGGACTAAATCATGCTGCGCAGACCATGTCTCCTCCTCTTCTGTCAATAATTCATTTTATTTAATTTGGTTAAGTAAAGACTGGGCTTTTTATTTTCTTTTATCAGATAAAACATTTTATGTCAAGATATCTTAGTCTTTGCTTCTCTACAGCAAATCAAGTAATCCAAAATATTCAGATTACGTTACTCACTTTATGTAATTTAATGGATTATGTTACAAACTACATTTTGAGGTATGTAATCTGTAATCTGTAAGGGAATACATTTTAAAAGTCAC